AGCGGCAGTATTTCGCTCCGCGGAGGTTTGGGCGACAATCAGGTCCCGTTCCTTGGCCAACCGGACCTCCCTCAGCTGCAAGCTGTATAGCCCCACCTACAGAATTCCGTTCGATAAATGAGATGATATGGAACAAAGGGTAAACATGTGAAACAAATTATAAATATATGTGTATATATATATATAATAAATACCTTCAAGGCCGCTAAGGCCAAACATTCCTCCGACTGCTCGACCGACAGCTTGGGAACAACAAAGTTGTTGAAGAATGCAGAGGTAGACCAGATTTGACTCGCCGAACAACCAGCCTTCTCTACAACTTCATGAACAAGATCTGCCAGTGAGATCCGGTCGACCTGGCCAGAAAGGTGGACGGAATGAGTGCCACCTGTATCCTGGTTAGCATCCTGAGCACCCTGAAAGTGCTTAGTGAAGTTATGCAGCTGATCGGATCCAAACCGATCGTCGATCAGCATATCGTCCAGCTGATCCTGAGGAGGAACCTGTTCAATGGGCTCAGGCTCCTGAACAGGTTGAGAAGAGCCTACCTCTTGAGTATTAGCGGTGGAAGGGTTGGCCTTAGGAATTTTCCTGGCCTTCTTCCTTTTCCCCACACCACCAGCTGCTAACATGCGACTATTATCCATTGAAGCGTCTCGATTGGGAGCTGAAAAAATGACAAAGGAAAATATTAGTACCGAACGGCCTTATCGCGTGGGAAACAAAGAGAAATGGAACGTTTCTCGCACGGGAAGGACCGCCCGGTCCATGGTACTTGGTTCTTAGACAAGTAGATCCAAGAGAGCGGGCAGTACCTATCCCGGCCTTGGTGAGTTGATCGGTGGTCAGATATGATAGAATGTTGCAAGTCTTGGTTTCCTCTACAGTAATCACGTCCTTACAGATCGTCTCAGTTAGAATCGGATCCGGTGATTTACGAGGAAAGGCATTCCATCTGTTAGGAATCAGACCGTCCGGGACAGAAATGAAGAAGAACCGCTCTTTCCACCCTTTAATTGAAGTTAGATTACCCTTAAAAAGGATATGTGGGGTTCGGGCAGCTGCAGCTAAATACCCATGAGTTTGCTGGGGGGCTAATTTAAAAAATTGGTGGAATAAATCTAAAGTGGGTGTGACCCCAACATCTACACAACGGCAAATAAAGCCAGCCATCACCCGATAGGAGTTCGGCATGACTTGGGCTGGAACAATTTCGTAGAAATTTAAAAAAGAAACAAAAAAAGGGTGTAAGGGGAATCTAAGCCCAGCCTTAACGGAGTCCAAGTGGACTACGACCATCCCGGAGAGATGGCGCATTGGGTGAAGCCCAGCCCGCAACCGGAAATTCACTGGGTCTGGAATTAGGGCCGGAATTTGGGCCCTATTATGAGAAGTCAGCTTCTGCCGCCATTCCCTAATTAGCCTTAGGTCAATCTTGTAACGAGGAACGTCGCCCGTGGGTCCAGCCGCCATGGAAGCAAGTGTGTCACCAGATTGTGTACCATCAGAATCATCATCGGTAGAAGAAGAACCGGCGGAAGAATCCTCTGCCTCCACCCTATTTTCTTCCTCCGCCTCACTGGTGCCTTCAACAAAGGGGACGGGTATGACGTCCACTACGGCAGCATCTGGATTTTCCCCTTGGGAAGTCGTTCTCGAATCAGAGGAGTAGGGTCGAGGAAACATATCGATCGAGGCAGAAAAGTGGAGGAGAAAAGGTAAGGAACGAAGAATACCTGAACTCAGAAAAAACTTGAAGAAGCTGGAGAGAAGGCAGAAAAATGGCTCGAAGGAAATGAGAATTCGAAACCCTTATCCAAGGATTTCAAGGCCCATTTATAGCCTGGCAAGCGCCGAATCAATAACCAATCAGAAGAAGACACGTCACCTGGATTATTTGAAAGGACACGTGTCGCACAGGAAATCAAGGGCCAGTAATCATGACGATTATGGAAAAAATCAAACGGCAGCCGCAAGAAAGGTACTAATCATGGCATGGGGAACCATCGAATTCTGGAGCTCGATCGTCATTCGACGTATAAAGTCCTACTTCCCAATGCACTCACTACTGTTAGAGACATCGGATGTGGGGGACTCATGTTGGGATATTGGGCCGCATGCCCAATACCCGAATCCAAGGCCCAATATATCCAGTCCGATAAACGGGCCCAGAATCCAGAAGATGAACAGGATCATGGAGAAATATGTGTCGAACGGGGTTCGGATCAACCAACGTACTTGGGCCAAATCAATGATGATTCCAGCAAGGTCCACTACCCGTTCGGGCAACGGGTAGCCAACAAGTGGCAGGGAGCATTTATTGCTAAAGTATGGTGGCAGCAAGTGGAAGTATGGGTTTTCAAGTCGGTGAATTAACAACCAATCAGCTTGGATCACCCCATACCCCCCATTAGTATAAATAGAGGGTTTAATATCATTGTAAGGGGTGAGCGTTTTCATACTCAAGCTCTAGAATAGCATTATCACTCTTGTATTTTGTATTAATCACTACTCCGACGTATCGACCGGGAGGTTTCTGTGTAATCAAGCAAGTTATTTAATACAAAGTGAGCTTTAGAGCAATCAATTACTCATCTTTTATATTTCTTTATACACTTGGTTCTGATCCATTTCCTGATATATCCAAAGTTCGTGTTGGGCTTTCAGATCTGCGGGACTGAACCTCAACAATGACCATTACATTATACATGCATGATATCTCAATGTTCAAATATAAAAAAATGCAAGTGCAACATTAAATTTAAACTTAACAAAAATCTCGGTTTAAAATAAGCATCAACCGTCAAACAAAAAGGTTCAATAGCTCCAAAGTACACATCCAATAAGTAATGCACAATAAGTAAAAAGTACATAGTAATAAACAACGAAATCAATAGAATATTAATTCTTTTTTGAGGTTAACTCCAATAACAAATACAATTAAAAAAAAACAATAAATATTAAAGTAGACTAAAGTATTAAAATAACAACTACTCGGATTGGCCTGATCCACAATATATAAGGTATATTAAACAAAACAAATATTTTCGACAAAAATTTTCTGCCCGGAACGCCGTCTGGCCACCTCTATTTGATGTACTTCCGTGTAGAATTTGTGGATAAAATTTTGTGATCATGTTCTACATGAAATGTAGATTATATATACCAAATTTTAGCTCAAAATGTAATCGGGAAGTAAGTTAAATAAAATATTGAAAGACATTGTGTTTTTATATATATATTGGCGTAATGCTTTTCAATGATTTATTTAACTGACTTCCCGGTTTCATTTTAATCTCAAATTTGATGGACATAATCATTATTTTATAAAAAACAAGCTCACAAAATTTCATCAAAAAATTCCACCCAGAAGCACCTCAAATGAAGATTACTCATTCAATGTACTCCCTTAGTCCCAAATTGTAAGATGCATTTACTATTCACTTGGTCAACTTAAATCACTCTTAATCTTTTACTTTATATATCAAAAGTTTGTGAAATTTGTTTTTTTTGCAGGTTTTATAGCGGTTTAAATGTAGTTTCTGCATATGTAAATTTTATTTTCTAAAAATAATTTGAGTGTTTACATGGATCAATTTGCTTTATCATCGGTCAAACATCGTAAACCGTAAAGTATCTTACAAAATGTGACGGAGGGAGTATAAGAAGTTTGGTTCCTGGAACCAGAACCGAACTGGAACCGAACCGGAACCGAACCGATGAAATACTATAGGAACCGAACCGAAAAAAGCTGAAGTCCAAAATTATAGAAACCGAACCGAACCAGAAATTTCGGTTCGGTTCAGATCGGTTTTTCCGGTTTTATGGTTCCAAGTCCCAGCCCTACTTATACCGTTTGGAGACTTACCTCTTAAATAGCGAGGTGGGTTGGGTCACCCGGACAGAACGCGTTTTTCTTCTCCCAAATAGCCAAAATCAAAATCGAGCAGCAGCGAACGAGCAGTAAACCAGCTCCGACGAAGCTCCGTCTCCGACGACGCCACCTTGCCAAGGACTCTCCACCTCCTTATTCTTTAATACTCTTTCTTCTAGGTAAATCAAAGTCCATTTTCATCTCATATTAAAGTTAGGGTTTTTAGAATCTAAAAATTTCGAATTTTTAGATTATGAATTGATTTGTAAATTGATTTGTTGTGAAGTGTGGATATGTATAACATGTTGAGTTTTAATGTTGAATTAAATGTAATGTAATATTTTGATGTTGTTGATTTGTTGTCTATTATTAATGTGAATTTTAATGGGAAATTTTGATTTATTTTTTATGTAATATTTTGGCATTGTTAGGTGTGAAATTCACATATTTAATGGGAGCCAGAGGGATATAACGGCATTCACATAGTTGATGGTCTAAACAACGGCCCATATATGCTTACCGGATATCATTTATATTATTGTACAATTCACATGTTTAATTTGTATCTACTAGATTAACCATTTACGTAATTGCGTCTATCAAACCCATATTAGCGGCCTGACCCTCTATTTCTCTATAGTCTATATACTCTTTGGGAGGTCTTGTAAACCCGATGACCCGATCAATTCATTCATATTACATTCACACTACACATTTGTCTTCTCTCTTGGCTCAATCTCTCTAATATTATGTATGAATACTCCTACTATCCATCAAGATTATTGCAAAACATTCGAGATAAAAACAAAAACTGTTGCATAATAGAGAAATAAAAAAACAATATACCCTAATAAAAGCTGCAATAATAGTAAAATAAATTTCTCGTATCATCCTTTTCCTTTTTTTTTATCCTTATATATATAAGCATTATTTGTAGCCTTTTTATTTTATCATTTTTATGTATATTCATCTTTTTTTATATTATCTTTTTATAATAGCTTATCTTTTTTCCTTTATTTTCTTTCTTTTCTTTTTGGTTGTGATATCATGTATCGATTCACGTTAGCCGACTCCAATATCTTTTGGGACTAAGGCTTGGATGTTGTTGTTGTAATAGTAAAATAAATTCACACATGAAACAGCAGATGGATATAATATGGAGTACATTAATATATTCAAAACTCAATCCTTTTGGGAAAAAAAATATTACTTGACCTAAGACTAGAGGGCGTAGAGGCCCTTTTTGAATTTAGGGTCATGTCATATACTCATAGGCCCTAGTGATAGAGGCTTGATAAAGAAGTTTCTCTTTTGCAGAATCCAAACATTTCAGACACTTTTAACAGCTCAATCACGCAGAACAGCAAAAGCCAACAGCGAATTATCATGAACTTTTCAAGAAGATTTTAAACCATGAGATCATCTTCAAGATAATTGTATTCAAATGTGAACTCCGTCTTGATCCTCTGGCACCTGCTTAGTGGCAAGGACAAAAGGAGTAAGAATAAACTTGTACTAACTTGTTGAATGCCTTTAGTTAGTACGGTGCTATAGACAGCAGTCTATACTATATCACAGTAGGTGTTAGGCATATTAGTGTCTGAAATGTAACGCCTACTGGGTCTGATTGGAGCATCAGTAGATATGCAAGATCAGACGAGGTCAGATCGAGACAAAAATTGAGAGGCACATTTGTAAGGATTATCTGGTATAATTGGTTGAATATGCTGATCTTTTTAAAGGGAAAGCATTTTGTGAAAACTGTTTCAGACTGGGACTTTGCGGGTCTGATTTTAATTTTTAGGATGGAAGACAGTGAAACAGACAAAAAAGAAGAGCAAGAAATATGGCCAAGCACTAATTTATTTGAACAACAGGCCAAAAAAAGAACTTTAATCAAATTACTAAATGACTCAACATCAGCGGAAGTAAAAGTATACCATCCATGCTGTTCATCATTGGCTATATGGAAATCAAAGTAAACATAAGTCCCCTGCTCGTAATCATCAGTAGCTATTTTCGGTTCTTCATGCCGCTGAAACCAAGTGTTGTACTTCCTGTGGTATCTCCAAGCTTGTCTCTTCAGCTCCTTTGCAGCAAGGTATTGTTGATAAGTATTCTGCAGCAGTACATTTCATTAAAAATAGTATCACACAATTTAACCACTAAAATATAAGCCCTCCATTCTTAAATAATTGTACATTAACTAAAGATTTCTTTGTTAACAAATAATTATCCTTTTAGCGAACTGATAAAGTAAAACCAAGGTTTTGAAAGGAGAAAAGGGGCCCCAAGGCAGCCTCTGACTCCACCTCATGAGGCATAAGCCTCGAGGCAAACTGAGGCGAACGTGTACCCCTTGAATTAATGGATATAAGCAGTGTTCTAAAAGGCGGCGAAAAGCGCCGCCTAGGCGAGAATAGGCGCAACGCGTCTCTCAAACACCTCGCACACCGATTATGCGTGCCAAAAGGCGGCCGACTAAGTCAAGGTCTCGATTTGGGCCGTTTAATCCAATATTTGGTCGAAAAGCCCACGAGTGCCTTATCAACACAACCTTGTGGGAGAAGCCTAATTTATAGAGATATGTTATTCAGTAGTTCATCTCCCCTCCGGTGTGGGAAAACTGAATGCCTTGAGTAAGCAGCTGTGTGGGAGGCATAATTTATACAAAAATGTTATAGAATAGATCAGCTGCCCTCCGGTGTGGGAGAAATGTTATACAGAGTACTTCGTACATCCAGCAAGTGAGCAAACCAACTAGTCCATTTGTTATTAAATTGAAATTTGTTTGATAATATACTATTATCCTAAATAATAATGATAATAAGAAGAAGAAATGATTTTATATTTATAACTAAAACAGTGATTGATTATAAAAATGTAATTTTTAAGAGAAAGTGACTATAGTGGTAACTTTATTTTAAGTTACTTATGTTTAACTTTTATGATGTTTTTGCATATCTTTATTTTAATATTAAATTTAAATATTTATAAAAACTCTAGGAAAACTAAAATAAAGGATAAAAAATCAAAACGCTTTATCACGCCTAAACCCCGCCTAAACCCGCCTAGGCTCCAAAGGCTTAAGGCTTGACCTTGCCGCCTCGGCACGCCTTACGCCTTTTAGAACATTGGATATAAGTAGATAAATAGTTAAGGAAGCAAGGAAGCAAGGAAGTCAAGCCATCAAGCCAGCCATCCAGTAAATAATTTAATAAATATGATGCAAGGCATTTAGAAATACTGAAGCCCATGACTCATTTGATCAACTAAGGCTCAAGACTTAAAGACATTTTCCTTCCAACTAAATGCCTTTGTCCCTAAGACTCTCAGAGGGACTCACTTAAATGCCATTGAAAACCACTGAGCAATGACTAAGCTGTCCTCGTGTACTTATTTCACTTTTTGTTTGCACTTTTCAATACCAAGAAATCAGTGGTGATATGTTTGTCCATTTACTACTACACTAATAATCAAATGTTATTAAACACGGAGGAGGGGATAGCAGCATGGCACATTAGCAAGCAAAGAGATCAAATTTCAAAAATGAACCTGTTGGTAGTAAAAAGCAAAGAATAAGGTGTCAGTGCCAAAGTTATCAGCTCCAAGGCGTTCCCAGAAGGCAGGGTTATTAACAATGGGTGCCTGAACTTGGGGGTAGCTTGGAGGTGTCAATACTGGATGTTTCTGTAGAGAATGTTTGGAGGAAAGATTATCATAACTTCAATGTCATGATCCAATATGCTAGTACTGCAGGATATAATAATGTGCATACCGGACTATAACTCTTAACACGCTCTGAATCTTTAGGTTGAGGAAGCTTGTGAAAAGCAGACTCGAGCATTTGCAAGTTATGTAACTGGTCATACAATCCTCCAGAATTAGAAGAAGGTGACGAACTCAAGTTATCACCGATCGTACCAAGATCTGAAACACTTCTGCGGCCAATGACTCCAAGGTTTCCTGATGGTTGATTCAATTGGAATGGTTGACCAGGAGAGAGATCTGTATCCCGTGGCATTTGTGATTGCTCTGCAAAATTGCTGCTGCTAACTCCACTCTGTGATAGATTCTGTGTTGTGGCATATATTAAGATGTGCATTTTAGCATTATAAACTTGTAGGGTATAAAATGTATTAGTAATTGACATCTGGTGAGCATCGAACACGAGTTGCCAACTGACTTTAGTCTGGAATATAAGTAACTAAGCTGTCATATTGGGGAGATCCATCTGAGGTGAATTAGGCCTTATTGAATCGTCGTCATCATCACTACCCTAGTGCCGCAAAGGCTCCCACCTTCGGTGGGGTAAGGGGGTCGGATGTACGCGGCCTTACCCCTGTACTAAAGCACAGAGAGACTGTTTCCGGATGACCCATAGTGAAAATTGCGCCGAAAATTGCATGGACTGACTGCTGCTTCATAACATAGAAGCGCAGACAGTTTAGTAAGACATTTTGCTTTATTCCATCATATTTCCAAGCCAAAATATAGCGAGTCTTTGGCTCCATTGCAAATGATGGATTTAGACCTGATTGAATATGCAATCAAAATTTCATCAGATGATGTGTCCGTCCACTTGATGGCTTGTGCAGCCTGTTGGGTGTAGGTTTGGGCCCATTTTATCACCCCTTTAGTAGTCCAGCACAGGCCACCTGGGTCTGAGTCTATATACAATTGTGAGGTAAACCTTATCCTAAGGATCATTTTGAGGTGAGTCAGGGCCAATTTAACATCACCAAAGCAACCAACATTTCGAGGGGAGTATATTTATAATCACTGGTCAGAGGTATTCACAAAATAATATAGCCACTACATGATCGATTTTGCTTCTTACATCTTATCCAGAAGTAAAGATCAATTTTCAAGCATGCCTGATGAGTATATAGAAAAAAATATATGCTGAACTTACGGGCGCATCTGATGCATAAACCTTCAAATCATCCTCATTCTTCCCAGGGCCAGGGGATGGAGCAGCATCTACAGAATCTTCAGGAAGGGCATGTTGTTGGTGACACTCTTCTCCTTTTGGATGACTGACTTCTGCAATGGAGTACTAAGACCATGAGCTTAATAGCCAGAAGCTAGTTTACTACTCACACAATATGAAAAGCAAATCCTTCAATGCCTACTTTTCCACTTTTAACTTTACGCCTTCCTTTCATACGTCTCACAATTATTTCAGTCAGAAGGCGAAGTACTAATCCTTTATATGGAGTATTTTAAAACACCTCATCTCTTTTGATTATTTTTCAATCTGAATCGTCCTTGTAGTAACAAACTCTATGTTAGGTTTATAGGATCAGATCTGTGCTCTAAGACCTTTCCATTGAATACATGCACACCCACCTGACCAAAGCCTCAAATGGACCAATAGAATGACGGAAGCAGCACAAAACTAATTGATAGCATAAATTCCACTTTCATAGATTGCATTTATGAAATTTGTTTTCATGATGACAAATTGCATTTACCCCCTCCCCCCAGTTTTTTAACAAGTGAACATAGTGTGAAACAATAAGCACATCTAGAAAGCGCACATAGACCTCACAATAAACAAAGTACTTTATCAATCCCCCAGAGGACTGAAGGACCCAATGATTTTTAATGGATACATAGGCTATAAGGAGAAAGATCCTATCAACATACCAGAATCTCTAGATGCTGTTGATATCAAATTGTGTTGGTTAGTTGGTTGATGGATCACACCAGGGTGTTGTTGTGATGATGCAGGAGACGGAGCACTATTAGCATTAGCTGCTTGGGTTGCAAAACCCAAGCCATGTTGAGGTAACACAGATGGGCTGTGAGAAGTGAACTGAAAATATTAAGAATAACAAATTAATCTATAACCAAACTTGGCCACGATAAACTGCATTATCAGGCTTAAAGATTCAACAATATCCTATTCTAGCTGCACTTTTGTAAGCCCTCCGGTGTCAATTCAGCTATCAACGTATCATTTCAATATTTTCATACTTTATTGTATGATAACAGCATTTAAAACACTTGAATTTACTGATTTGAATGAAATTGCTTAAGAGAAACTACTCTCAGCAAGTCTTTATTTATAAGGCAAATAATTACAAGGAAAGAATCATATGCACATCAAGCAGTAATTAATTCCTGATTTGATACAATCTGTACAATAAATACTAAAATCAGGAAGGAAATCATATCAAATCTCAACACTCCCCCTCAAGCTGGTGCGTAGATATCATATGCATCAAGCTAGTCACAAATATATCTTATCCTCGGACCTCGAAGTGACTTAGTGAGAAAATCAGCTAACTGATCATTTGATTTGACAAAGGATGTGAAGATTTCTCCAGAAATGACTTTTTCACGAATAAAATGGCAATCGATTTCTATATGTTTTGTTCGTTCCATGGTTTGCAATTGCGCAATGCAATTGCGCCTTATGGCGCGCATCTGCTATTTCAAAGTCTGTGGCGTAAAATTGCATTGCATATGGCGATTGGGTCTGTAGCGTAGATTTTTAACGCTATGGCGTACGCAATATAACATAAGCCATGAGGCGTATGTAAGGCGTAGGTTAAATTCTTTAATGGGTAAAGTTATTTTTTGGCCCGCTGGGCCCACTTTTAACGGTTTATGTTATATGCGGCCTTCTCGTTTAGCCGCTTCTTCCCATTCCATTGTTACGCAATTAGCAGTTCCACCGCCTTCTTCCAGAGTTCCAGTTTGGTCGCAATCAGCAGTTTCTTTTCCTTCCACCGCCTTCTTCCACTTTGTTGGCAATCAAGTAATCAACAGATACGGTGAAAGTGTGAACCTCTTCTACCATTCCTCGAATCTGCAGTACTGCCTTATTTCTACGGTGAAAGTTAACATTATTTAATATTAATGTTAATTTTCTGCCTATTAATATTATATGATTTTTCTTCAGTTAAGTTTTTAACTTTCAACAGACCAGTATGTTCTTCAACTCTGTACTGCCTTTTTTATGCTTCTCTGTTTGATGCCTTTTGTTTCTATTCAATTAAACACTAATTAGTAATGTTAATTTTCTGACTATTAATATTTTATTATTATCCTTCGATTAACTGATTAAGTTTCAACTTATGAATATTTTTTCCAGTTATTATATTTAATGATAACTTCAACTGTGTACTGCCTTTTTTATGCTTCTCTGTTTGATGCCTTTTTGTTTCCATTCAATTAAACACTAGATAGGGATGATTCGATTTTTCAATCATCAATCTAATATGTTTAGGATTATTTTATGAAGTTTCAGAAATTTTTGCTGTTATTCAGGATTATTTTTCCTAAGATTGTTCCACCATTATGATTTGTTTTAATATTGCATTTGCCGGTTTCTCTTTGAATAATGTTTTTTGTTATATATATATATATATATATATATATATATATATATATATATATATATTTATTTACGCCTCAGCTATACGCCTCATTGCGCAATGAGGCTTACGCAATATGCAATTCTAAAAATCCGCCATGATTACGCAATACGCAATTTCGAACATTGGTTCGTTCATGAAAAACAGGGTTAGAAGCGATGTATAAAGCTGCCTGATTATCACAGATCAGTTTCATAGGCTTCAGTTTGCAAAACTTTAACTCGGACAATAACTGTTTCAGCCATATAAGTTCGCAAGTAGTGAGAGCCATTGCTCGATACTCTGCTTCTGCACTTGATCTAGCGACAACACTCTGTTTCTTGCTCTTCCAAGAGATTAGGTTTCCACCAATGAGAACACAGTACCCTGAAGTTGATCTCCTGTCATTTGGACAGCCGGCCCAATCCGCATCTGAATATGCAGTAATATTGTCACAACCCCGGTTCGCATAAACCAGTCCTCTTCCAGGTGAACCTTTGATGTATCTTAGGATTCGAACAACTGCATCCAGATGACTATCACATGGCGTATTGAGGAACTGACTAACCACGCTCACGGCAAAGGAGATGTCTGGTCTGGTCATAGTGAGATAATTTAACTTCCCCACAAGTCGTCGATATCTTTCAGGATTAGAGATAGGCTCTCCCTGATCTGGCAAAAGTCGAACATTTGGATCAATTGGAGTATCGATCGGCTTACAATCTGTCATCCCGGTTTCCTTCAAAATATCAAGAGCATATTTTCTTTGAGATATGGCAATGCCAGTTTTGGATTGAGCTACCTCAATTCCAAGAAAGTAACGAAGTCGTCCCAAATCTTTTGTTTGAAATTGATGGGACAAGTATAGTTTAAGATTCTGTATGACATCATGATCATCCCCTGTTATTACAATATCATCAACATAAACAACAAGGTAAGTAGATTGATTAGATAAAGATCTTTTATAAAACACGGTGTGGTCTGCTTTGCATTGAATCATCCCAAACTGTTTGAGAGCCGTACTGAATCTGCCAAACCACGCTCGTGGGGACTGTTTAAGACCATACAAGGCCTTATGCAACCGACACACATATCTACACTCCCCCTGAGCAACAAACCCAGGTGGTTGCTCCATGTAAACTTCTTCTTTTAAATTACCGTGAAGAAATGCATTTTTTATGTCCAACTGATGTAAGGGCCATCTGCGCATAGCTGCCATAGATAAGAACAAACGTACAGAAGCCATCTTTGCAACCGGAGAAAAAGTGTCACCATAATCCAAGCCAAACACTTGAGTAAACCCTTTAGCAACCAAACGTGCTTTCAGCCGGTCAACTTGTCCATCAGGACCAACTTTGATTGTAAACACCCATCGGCAACCAACAATAGATTTACCATGGGGCAGGGGAACAAGAGACCAAATACGATTGATTTCAAGCGCAGCCATCTCATCAAGCATAGCTCGGCGCCATCTTGGGTGGGCAAGAGCTTCCTGGACAGTTTTAGGAATGGAAACAGAAGAGATGGAAGACACAAAAGCATAATGGGAAGGAGATAGACGATGATAACTTGGACAATTATAAATAGGATGCGGGTTCCGAGTGGAACGTATACCTTTTCCGGTTGCAATTGGAAGATCAGGTTGAGCAGGTGCCTCATGTAGGTCCGGAGTAGGTAAAGGAGCTGGAGCTGGAGCTGGAGGTGAATCAGCAGGGTCACTATTAGGGACATCCTCATTAGGTGCAGACCGCTATCGACGCTGATAAGTAATGAGTGGTTTGGCAGAGGACAATGGAGGACTGAGAGGTGACAATGGAGTAAGATGAGGAATGGGTAAGACCTGAGAGACAGATTCAACTTCCACTTGTGAAGTGAAATACGGTTGATCCTCAAAGAAACTGACATCTGCAGAAGTATAGAAACGATGAGTAGAAGGTGAATAACAACGGTACCCTTTTTGGACTCTAGAGTAGCCAAGGAATATGCACTTGATTGCTCGTGGAGATAATTTGTCAAGACCAGGGGAAAGATCCTTTACGAAACAAGTACAACCAAAGACTTTGGGAGGAACAAGGAAAATGGGGTCCTTTGGGAACAAGATAGAGTGTGGTACTTTGTTATCCAATGTAGAAGATGGCATTCGATTGATTAAATGAATAGCTTTGAGAACAGCATCTCCCCAGAATTTTAGTGGGGCATTGGCATGAACCAGTAGTGTGCGTGCTGTTTCAATGATATGACGATGTTTTCTTTCGGCAATCCCATTTTGTTGAGGCGTGTGGGGACATGTGGATTGATGAATTATCCCTTGAGTAGCCATATATTCATTGAAATTTGTTGAGAAATATTCCTTGGCATTATCACTACGTAGAACACGAATGGTATGATCAAACTGATTTTTTATTTCATTGCAGAAACTTTTGAAAATGCCAAATAACTCTGAACGTTCTTTCATTAAATAAAGCCACGTACATCTTGAAAAATCATCAACAAAGATAACAAAGTACCGAAATCCTAAAACAGAACTGACACGACTTGGACCCCAAACATCTGAGTGAACAAGATAGAAGGGAGATTCTGCATGACTATGACTTTTTGGGAAAGTGGTTCTAACATGTTTACCAATTTGACATGACTCACAGGCTAAGGACTGTAAATTGGAAACTTGAGGTACCATTCTCCTCAGTTTATTGAGACTAGGATGACCTAAACGTTGGTGAAGCAAAGAAGGCTCCATAGCAATGCAAGCAACGGAAGAGGAAGTCTGAAAGTAGTATAGACCCTGAGATTCAAATCCTGCTCCAATCATCTGTCCCGTACTCCGGTCTTGTATAGAAAAAGAGTCATCAATAAAGGTGACAGCACAATTATGACGACGTGTAAGTTGACTGACAGAAACCAAGTTGAAAGGACAACCAGGGATAAGAAGAACAGAATTAAGAGACAAAGAAGGATGAAGTGTGGCCTGTCCAACGCCAATGGCTTTAACTTTTGAACCATCAGCAAGGGTGACATGGTGCGCTGATTTAGGTTGAGATAACTTTGAGAAAAGAGAAGGATTACCGGCAATGTGATCAGAGGCACCAGAATCTATGATCCAAGATTGGGCGGGTCCTGATTGAGAAAGACAAGCTGTAGAGTTACCGGTAAAGTTGACTGCTGCTGAGGAATGCTGAGCTGCCTTAAGTTGTAGATACTCTTTATATTCATCATCTGATAGAACATTCTGGGCACTTTTAGTTGCTGCCCCAGGTTTCACCGGTTCGGAGTGCATTACATTAACAGACTTGTCAGGCCAACCAATAATTTCATAACATTTATCTTTGGTATGACCCATGCGCTGACAATGACTACACTTAGGTCGACCACCAGTGCCACGTCCTCCTCTATCACGACCACGACCGCCATAGCTAGAACGAGAGACAAGAGCAGAGAACTCTGAATCAACGTGAGGACCAACACTTTCAATTCCACTTGGTGCAGGAACTCTCAACAGTCGACCGATAAGGTCTTCAACAGTGGGAATGTTTGGATTCGTTAGGATCTGGTTCCACACGGAATCAAAATCCCTATGAAGTCCATGGAGAACAAACACCGTACACATTTTATCAATTTTATCAAACACTTTAGGGAGATCAGTTTCGCTCAACATCACCTTAACCTCTTCAACAATGGATTATGCCTTATTCACATATGATGGAAGGTCATGGTCGGACATTTGGAGTGTTGCAAGGCTATGAACAACGTCATAAATCCGTTGGACATCATTCGCAAACACACTTCGAGCTTTCTTCCATATGTCATAACACGTCTTGTATGTGCGGAAGTGGATCAACAGTTTGGGATCAATGGACTGCCACAAAATAGCAACCAATTGATGGTCGGCTTGAGTCCATTTTTCCCTTTCAGATGCAGTTATCTCATCGGCTCTTTTGGTCAAATGTTCGGACAAACCTTGGCCTAAGAACCACATTTCAACAGAAACTTGCCAATCCATGTAGTTTCTGCCGTTAAGTTTTTCAGAAGTTATTTGGGGATTCCCAGAAAAGACAAAGGACACAAGACTCCTGGAAGAGTCAGGAGTCGTGCTGTGCTGCTTGCAGGAGACATGACGTATACTGACTTGGGAACAATCTGGAATGAAGGTTGGCTGCAGGGACGACTAGGGAAAGTGAGGATCAGGCTCTGATACCAACTTGAATTTACTGATTTGAATGAAATTGCTCAAGAGAAACTACTCTCAGCAAGTCTTTATTTATAAGGCAAATAATTACAAGGAAAGAATCATATGCACATCAAGCAGTAATTAATTCCTGATTTGATACAATCTGTACAATAAATACTAAAATCAGGAAGGAAATCATATCAAATCTCAACAAAAACAATCAACCAAATGAAAATTTAATGCCAACCAAATTAAAGAAGGCATGGATTAAAACTGCAAGTGAACGCAGAAAAGGGTAAAAATGCACATTCATAGGCATTGAGTTAGGTTAATTAAAAAAAAATCAAGTGTAGGAACATAACACATTAGAGCAAAGTAGAAGCGGACTGCAAAATAACGCGATTTAACAACATGCCTGTGTTAATAGTGGATTCTGTTGCTGGGAGGAGAACTGCTTGTGGTTTCCACCACCAAGTGTGGGCATGTTGAGAATGTTATTCTGACCTTGTTGTTGTTGTACCTGCTGAAATCTCTGCAAAAATTTCTCCCTCTGATCCGGAGCGATTTCAGTTCTTCCACGGAATTGCCCCTGGCAAAAGCAGATAAATTATAATCTTAACTTCAAAGTTAAGTGTTAAGCTTATGAAACGAATTGAAAGTGGTTGGCCAAATATGCCATAGACCCACAACTTTTTCCCAACAGATCTACAGAAATCGCTAGCACAAATCACAGTATAAGCGAGCAACATTTTTCATGCCATTAATGAATATACTGAACCAAAGATATTTAGGATAGCATACTGAAAAGAGATTCAATATTTCACCTTGCAGCAACTACATACACACTATTATTAATGCCGTAAAGTTGACAAGCACGAAAGTGTAAGATATTTTACTGAAACAGGAGTCAGCTACCCACCAGTTCATTTTGATTCTGAAAGGAACTTCCGGGCCTCCATTGCATTCCAGGTACAATGGAAGGAGAGAAAACCCTACCAGACATGATGTTGGGATCGCTAACATTACCAATGTCAGTCGATCCCATTACATCACTCGACTTAGTAGTTTGTGACAAGATATTTCTGTTGGCCAAGGGGGAAACTAGAGGCTGTCCAACCCCACCAGTCCCAAGTCTTTCATCTGATCCTAAAATATTTCTCTTTGCTACTTCAGGAGAAGAAGGAATAGCACCAAGAGTACCATTGGTGGAAGTTGAACTACTTGAGCCAAGCAAAATATTAACTGCAGGCTGACTAGGGAGGCCACCTCTACTAACACTTCGTAATCCACTTTCAGAAATTGCTGGTGAAGGTTTCCGGTCAGGGAAACCCGGTATCTCCTCATCTTTTGTGGCATTAGCTACGTTCCTAGGGGACAAAATGGTAGCACCTGCATTGTCCAACAAACGACAAGTTCCACAATAAGAATTGAAACATGAAAAATAGAGGATGAAGTATTTGATAGTTGATACTCAAAAGTTTAAAGATGGCTGTACTGGGAATCACATAGCTGCCTGAAGGAGTTGTTGGAGCAGAAGAGCCAACCACACCAGATTTAGAAGGTGGGGTCCGGGCAACCATGTCAGACGCACTATCCTCGGTAGCAATATCCTCTGCTTGCTCCTGAGTAGAACCTCCTTGTTCGACAGAAGATGTTACTGCTGCCTGCGCAGGGAAATCAAATAATGGGATTCCAACAGCATCACATAAAGCAAACAATTTAAAGTTAACGACAAGATGATAATAAATAAAATAATAATATTATTATTAACAACAACAATAATAACAATATCAGCAACAATAATATTGCTCAGTTCATATTGAAAGTGATAAAGAGACCGCATGGGTGTTGGCATTAATGTTTCATTTAGCGTGTCACACTTCACTTTCAACCACTACTTGTGCATAGTATCAATTACCTATCGCATATAATGACAACTGCACCACATTGATAAAGACTACTCCATAATGTTAACCCTCTCAAGTTTCTATCTGGGACCCTTTGCAGAGCCACAAAAAGGACACCCAGACACATATCGCAAAGCAAAGGAACAAAATACAACAAAACAGACAAGAAATGGGATGATGATAAATTTTCGACACTGTTAGAATTTCTATTATAACGAGAAAGAGACTATGGCGTGATGCATACCGATACTTGACCAGGTGATGCAGCTATAGATGATTTCAAGCTTAATGTGGCACTAGCAGCAGTAAGGCCCTGTAACAACTGGAATATTTAGATTCATTGTGTTTGAAGATTGTGGGGGGCAGTAATAAACAAATGTTAGGTATTTTTACAGGGGCCCTTGGAAATCATCCACAAAAGCAACAGACAGCCTGTTAAGTGTCTGCCAATTCAGTGTAGGTGCTCCATATTTTCAATTAATTTACATGTCATGATTAACAACAGAAGAGAAAACTTAATATCTACTCAAAGAATGATAGAACAAAAGAGAAACGCTTACCAGACAAAGAACATATTTAAAAGATACAAATGAAGATGTTACCTTGGCAAGCCCAGGGGGGCCAATGACGACTAGTTCTTCAAGAGATTCCACTTTGTCTAATGGTAGGGAGCTATAAAGCTCGTCTACATCATCAAACTCATCAAAGTCCTCCTAGAAACAGAACATGATATGAATGGACTGATAGAAATCACTGCATGCATATGCCATGAACCAATGAAATATCAAAAGAGAAAAACCAAAACGGCATATGTAATGAGTGTTTGTGTATGTGGGCAATAAAACTTAATACATAAAAAACTATTTTCAGAGTATGCTATTTAAGAAATTAAACCATTGACTCGTAGTAGTATTTTGTGGTCTTTGGGTAACATGAGATGATGGGGGAAAGCTACACTGAGCAAAGTAAACCTGATTGCGCTCCACATAGTCATCCAGGAAATCTTTAACATCATTGACTTGTTCTGGGCTCAACTCATCATTATCCAGCAATCTCAGGATCAGCTCTAACTTCATTATATGGGCCTTGTGTCGAACAATGGATGCCTCCAAATGAATCTGGGAAACAGATGCCTCATGAAAACTCAAGGACAAACCACTCACAATGTCACCATACTAAGATGTTCTCCTTTATTTACCAATCTTGGTGGCCTTGTTTTCCCTTTTTTGACAGTTAGTCCCTCCAGTTCAGCCTCAAATATGTCAATTTGATTTTCCAGCTCCCCAACCTTGAAATAAAAAAGAACAATCGCCCTTAATCAATTATTTGACACTTATTTGAGAAGACTATATAAAGCTTACACAGCAATGCAAAAGGAAGTATATCTTAACATTATAATGAAAATGACTTGCAGGTTCAGTCCAAATTCAAGTTTTTTCCCTTTTAGAGAATTAGGAGCTAAAAGCCTAAAAGCATACCAAATTAACTGTGGCAGGACTGTAAAGTTATTTGACAAACACTGAAAGTCATTAAAGTGAGTGACCAAAGGCAAGTGAAATGTGACACAAATGAAAATTGTAATGTGCCAACTGCCAAGTGACAACTACACAGTGTATAGCAAGTTACTTAATGGGAAAAGGGGCAAATAATCCCTTAACTAACCGAAAAAAATGCAAATCACCCCTTTTACAGGAGGCTCTGTCCGGGTGTCGCCATTTGGGGCGGTTACCGGTTGAATTTTTTGATGAAGTTTTTTGAGAATCTTCTTCATTAAGTCTAGTTTACCCATACCAAATTTCAGCTAAAAATTCAATCGTGAAGGCAGTCAAATAAATGTTTGAAGATAACTGCGCAGTTAAACAGCGCAGTATATTGCAGAAAATCATTTGACTGCCTTCCCGGTTTAATTTTTACCTAAAATTTGGTATGGGTAAACTAGACTTAATGAAGAAGATGCTCAAAAAAAATCATCAAAAAATTCCACCGGAAACCGCCCCAAATGGCGACGGCCAGACAGAGCCTCCTATAAAAGGGGTGATTTGCACTTTTTTGGTTAGTTCGAGGGCTTATTTGCACCTTTTCCCTTACTTAATTAAAAATAGCATGCAGGCAGATAATCAGATCCATACCACATTATTCAACCAATCTCTTGTCTCTGATTTAGCCTTTTCCTTTGGATCCTGACAAAAGCAGCATATGACAACAAAGCAACTCAATATTCAAATTACTGTAGTTCAACAGCCTGAAACATTCAAATGTCAACACTCAACATCCAACTATTAAAAGGTAAACCCATTAAAACTCATTAATCTCATTTTTCACTGAACAACTAAGAGCACATTATCACAGTTCTGAGTGCACAGCCTGAAATTAAGCCCTAAAGCATTGCCAGTAAGGAACAACAACAACAACATCCAAGCCTTAATCCCAAAAGAATTTGGGGTCGGCTAACATGAATCGATCTAGTTGAGAAAATTAAAGAGACGCAAGTTGAATTTCCTTCTTTTAGACTTCTCTTCACCCTTAAATTTCCTTATATTCTTCTCTCTCAAAACTCGTACAAGTTGGGGGAGATTTAGAGCTGATTGTACTATATAATAAACATTTAGCTGAAATCTTCTCCAGTAGCACAAACCCAGCACTTTGATAACCTGATTAGCAAAATGCAAGTAATTCATTACACATGTTGATTAGAATATAATCTATGATACCGTCTTTGGTTGTTGGCCTAAGCCTTCTTTCGAAAATGCTTTGGTCTTTGTTTCTTTCTCACATATTTTGAATCGTTCCATTTCACGCTCAATTTGCTTCCGAGCATCCATCAGAGCCTGCTCATAAGAGGCACTAACCTACGTCAAACAGCACCAAATAATATTATAGTCAACACATGTTTTATACTCCATACATGTTAAAGGATGAAGAGAGACATATAACATTCAAAATCTCCAGTAACCATATGTCCATATAACCACAGAGAGTAGCTCTGTCTTGTTTAGATATATAAAAAAACATAAAAATAATATTACCCATATATGTTGTTCAACAATATTTGTTATCTACATGGTTAAAGGCTGAGTAGGAATTAGAACCAGTTACACCAGAGTAATCAGTTAAAGACAAGGCCCTCTATGAGTGGGGGCAGCCCGGTGCACATTGGCATCCCCGCAAGGCTAGGGTCAGGGGAAGTGCCACCACAAGAGTGTATAAGGAGCAAGTTTTTCCTTATCATTTTGAAAAGAAGCTGCTTGAACCCATGACCTCTTGGTCACACAGCAAAAAAAACTGTAGCAGGTGCGCCCAACCGCCCAGGCTCCCCTTCTCCCGGCCCTCTATGAGACTGAGTAAATTTTAAAAACCAATGCTGCAAATTTAATATTATTAGCCCTACAAGTCGAATATATTAAGCAAAAAATAGTAATCCATAGTAACTAGCATAATTCAAAAAGTATTGAGGTCATATTATCCAACCAACCTTAACATCTTATATCCAAAATTAATCATCATTTGGTTAAAAAATGATATTATCTTCAACTTCTTCCGTCTCCACACACACGTCTTGGGTGAAAAATTGTAGATTTACAAACTATAAAGACCTCAAAAAAGTGATCTATTACATTGAATTCCCTGAGGTCATTTTAAATCCCATAATGACCCAATACTATTTTGCTAAAATAACCAAGTAACTCAGTTTTGGCTAAAATGGCTCACTAAACTGTATGTGCTTCTTTGTTATGAAACAACGGTCAGTCCATGCAATTTTTGACGTGATTTTCATCATGGGTCATCTAGACAGTTTCTATGTGCTTTAGTACAGGGGTAAGGTTGCATACATCTAATCCATCCATCCCCCCTTGCCACAGCATAGGTGGGAACCTTTGCGGCACTGCGGTAATGTTGTTGTTGTTGTAACCAAGTAACTAAGTTTTTCAGACTAGACTGAGTAGGTAGACAATTTCGCAAGATGTAGTACAAAGTAGCAAGTACTTGCCAATTAATTTTAACAAGTTACTCGCTTACTGAATTCAAAAGAACAAACGAAGCAGCAAAAGGCGAGCTCAACTCAAAACATGTCCCATCAGCTTTTGCCAACAATGACACATATGTAGTTAGAGAGTAATCTAAACTAACAGAGTCTCCTATACATCTCTTTGCTCTTTTCTGTTTCTTGCGAGAGATTGAATAGTCACTACTGTTATTGCCTTTTCATTCATCGTAAATCTCAAAATGGTATCAGAGTATACAGTAAAGAAATGATGGTGGTGTGTTCTAGTGGTGTAGCAATTAAGCTCAGCAGTTCTCCGACACCATCAGATACTGTGTCGATAGCGCTCCCTGTTGGAACAATAAAAAACCCTACTTATGTACTGCTTTTCCTATGATTCAAGTCATGGAATGACGACTTGCCACTGTTGGTAATGACCTTTTATTCTGCCTTAAGGACTTGAGAAACTAACAGCTTTTCTTTGAAGTTCAGCTCTGCTAATAGAAAACATGCAATGGCTAATGTGGTTATCCAAGCCATACAGTGGATAGATGTTACAAATAGGTGAACAGAGGCATGGTTTCAGCAAACCAAGATCAGGGGCTGCTGCAATGGTGCTGGTTTGTTCAGATGATGCAGAGGGATCAGCGTGCCAATCCCTCACAAGGTCCCATTCAAGGCAATCTTACTACTGCTAAACTTGTCCCTAATTTGAAGCTAATCTCACTACTGCTAAACATGGAAGGTAAAGTTCTTGGATCATTTTGAAGTAGCAAAACAACAGACACTAGATACTAGAGCAACCAACCATATTGTTTGGGACGCTTATCTGCTTCTTAATTCCAAACTAGTAGCTAGTATATGTGTTAAACGACAAAAAGGTTGCTAATACAGGTGCTGGAGAAGCACTCGTGCATGTACCACTAATGATCTAGAATAAAGAACGGGTTACATATTCCTGTGTTCCGTTACAAACTAATGTTAGTGGGGTAATTGCTTGAAGACGCATGGTGTAGTGTCCTTTTGAAGACTGATGGTTGTTTAATACATTAACAGCCCTCTGGAAGGATGATTGTATTGGCTGAAGTGTAGGATGGACTTTTCCATCTCACTGATTCAAATAATGCATCTTTTTTTCTTACTGCTGTTTCTGTTAATATTCAAAATGTTAGTACAAACTACAAATATTCTAGGTTATCGCGTGTTTCTTTCCTAAAAATCAAGATCCATTTGGCAAGGCAAAAAAAGATAACGATTTTCTATTGGTACCTGAGTGCCCTTTTATCCTGTGAGTGGATCTTCCGGAGCAAGAGAGTTCAAAATACTATTTATTATGGAGGTAGCGATATTAATATTAGCTTCAAATGGCAGCTGAAAGCTACCTTCTTGTCCTTAATTTCACTGGACTGGATCCATGTCTTAATTTGGTCTCTGTACCTCTGGAGTTTCTTTATTTCCTTCTTCAAATCTGCCTCGAACTTTTCTTTCTGGTTCGCATTGTCAGTGTCGTAAACCTTATTGTTTGAAAAAACATAAAGTTCATCAAGAAAATTGAAGCCAAAACAGAGCAAAACAAAAAAGTACATAGCTAGTTACTCGTATTATTTTCTTAAATCAAAGGTTAAGCGCGGACCTTGTTCCAAATGCTATCGAAGAGGTCGACACCCTCCTGAACCTTCTTCAATACTCGATCAATCTCACCTTGGAGCTTTCGACTCGCTCCCATTGAAGAAGAACAAAGTAACAGCCTATAGAAATTGGGATTGAAACCGCGACGGTGATTCAAAGCCTCCAAAGAATTCTGCTCTCTTCAGATTCTCCAAAATCAACTGCCCACAGGCAAAGGTTTTGCAGGCGAGCAATATCTGCTTTCGTCAGTCTCACGGTCAAAATATACCGGTTCATCCAACAGTAACGATCTACGAACAGATTAGGAGCCGGTCCGAGCCGCATACGGGTAAACAATATTGCCTTAGTCTTTTTTTATAATGAATTAAATAAAGAACATTTTTGTATCATTTTTTATATTATCAATATATTTAATACTATCTTTTATATCTCATTAATTGCAACATTGGAATATATACATTATTCATGTACTTTACTTTGACTATATTTTATTTATTAATGTATGTGAATTATTATTTTTGAAAAATGTTGTTAAATTCGTCTCATTACTAAGTTTTACAATCTGAATTTTATTTTATTTTTCTAATACAGAATTAAATATAATGACGGTCAAAGTTGTGTGTTAGCAAACGTAAAATGTTGACTGTTGCAACTAAAAAGAGACGGAGGAAGTACATTTATAATCTAATTTTTTGACTTGAAAAATAAAGTTTTGTTAAATAAAACTATCAATCCGGGACCTGAAAGATGAAATGTATCGATATAGGACCTGAACGATGTAAAACTGTCAATCTAGGACCCAAATGATTGAAAACTATCAATTTAGGACCTATGTTTTCATAAATTTTATTATTATTTTTATTTTAAAAAATTTAAATAATATTTAGTTTTATTAAACTAATAAACTTTTGTAAACAAAATTTCACCAAATATTAGCAATGGAATTAATAAAAAATTAAATAAATCAAAACCTGTGAAATATTAGGTCCTATATTGATAGTTTTCCATCTTTCGAGTCCTATACTAATACATTTCATCTTTCAAGTCTCGAATTGATAATCCGTCTATCTTTCAGATCCGAAATTGATAAAATTCCTAGAATAAAAAGAAATGAAGGGAGTATATACATATTGGAGAAATAATACTCCGTATTAGGTTAATTCTATTTACAACGAATGAATTTGTGCATTACTATGTACCATCTTAGAAGTTGTTCTCTTCGTCTTGATCTTATTACTTATTCCTTATTCTTATTTTATTCAGATCAGATCAGATCAGATCAGAAAGATTCAGATCAGATCAGATCAGATCAGAAAGATTCAGATCAGATCAGAAGCATTCAGATCAGATCAGAAACATTCAGATCAGATCAGAAACATTCAGATCAGATCAGAAACATTCAGATCAGATCAGAAGCATTCAGATCAGATCAGAAGCATTCAGATCAGATCAGAAGCATTCAGATCAGATCAGATCAGAAGCATTCAGATCAGATCAGATTAGTTCAGAAATTATTATTACTGTTATTATTACTATTATATAATATTATATATTACTGTTATGTTTTACGGAGTAATTTTTAGTATTGATTTTTTAATAAATGTTAAAATTGAGTACTATGTACCAATCCATCTAATCTAAATATATAATACTGTCACCATTTGATCGAGAAGAATGAATTGAAGTACAAACATTTATTCAATATCAACTTGCGATTATGGTATCAACTTTCGCGCTGCACAACTTTATCCGTCTTTACGAGTTGGATATTCCAATTTCAAGTGCAATCACCATTGAGCCAAGTACCGACACTAGCATGTTTAATCCAGAACGCAAACAAGAAATGGAAAAAGTGTAGGCACAAATAGCTGCTGAAATTTGGCGCTCAATTCGACGTTAAATGAATATGGCACTAAGTACATTTATATTTTATTGTTCTTTGCAATTGAGTTGTAAGAACAAACTCATGTGTTTGTCATTTCTACGTTACTCTCATTATGTGCAAGAATTTTATATTGCTTCGTTTATTGTCAAATATTTTTATTATTATTAAAAAGGTTATTAATATCACTCATTATTATTATTATTATTATTATTATTATTATTATTATTATTATTATTATTATTATTACTACTACTACTACTACTATTGTTATTATTATAATTATTATTATTGTTACGGAGTATTATTTTTATTATACTTATTATATAATAATAATAGTTATTATTACTATTATAATTATTATTGATGTTATTATTATTATTGTTATTGTTATTGTTATTATTCTTATTATTATATACCAATTTAGAAAGTTAAGATCAGATCAGAAGGATTCAGATCAGATCAGAAACATTCAGATCAGATCAGAAACATTCAGATCAGACCAGACAGATTCAGATCAGATCAGAAACATTCAGATCAGATCAGACAGATTCAGATCAGATCAGATCAGACAGATTCAGATCAGATCAGATCAGATCTTATCAGATCAGAAAAATTCAGATCAGATCAGATTAGAACTTAAAAAATTCAGATCAGAAACATTCAGATCAGGTGAAGAGAACAGCTTCTTAGTCACCAATTCAATAGAGCCAAGTGAGAAGTCTCACGGTCTCACTTTGAACAAAAGAGAGTGACAAATTTGAGATTAATGTCATTTCTTTATGTTTTATGTGTGCCAATTAAGTTAGATCAACTTTTATGGGATGTCTAATATGATCTATGTTGAGAACTGTTGATTTTTATTAAATTCATAAATTATAAATTTTTAAGAATTCTCAAATGATATACGGAATATATGTTGAAGACTTCCCATAATTTTCCAAAACAAACAAATTGGACCCTGAAAATTAAATATATACTTTTGAAAATTTAAAACATGACTAGTTGTTTGCACAAACGTGACTGTCGTTTATTTAATGAGTTAGTTTCATTTTTTCTTTCCATCCATATTTCACCGCTCATCTCTAGCTCTTCCCCTACCACCTTCAGTAATCACTACGCTAGTGACAATGGTGGCGTCATTAGTGACATAGTGACGTGGTGGCTTCGTTGTGACATATGATATGTAGTGTAATGTTATAGATGAGCAGTGACTTGAATATTTGTCATGACATACGATTTGTTAATAGTTAACTTGTTAGTTACATTTTTACCATATTTCAATGTTGTCACTTTTTTAAAATAGGGCTTGAGTACAGTACTACCTTCATTCCCTTAGATTGAGACAAGAGAAGTTGATGCAACTTTTAGGAGAAGTAGAGCTGTGCATTTAGTTTGAATTGATGAAACATGAATAAAATAAAAATGAATAAAAACCATGCAAATATTAATGGGTATGATCCGGTATACTCTTAATGAGATTGAATGAAAAAATAGGACAATCGCAATGAGAGATGGAAGTAATATTTAAGGCAATGATGGATCACATATCCAATTATTTGTTCTCCGAGCCCGGACAAGTACAACAAACAAGTCTTCAGGGGGTGTATTGAATAAAAATAATTACATATTTATGATTAAAATAAAGATTATTTACAAAAATGTGACTAGTTGACTGGAGTAGTAATATAATTATAGTAAATTTACATTCTATTTTTAAACTTAAGTTATCATGACACTACGTAACTACGTTGTAGTAACTATAAGTCATATTTGTGTAAATAATTTTTATTTTGGTAATATTTTTGAAAAAAATCTATGGAATATGATTGTGGTGTTTTTAATCAATGGACATTAAAAAAATTCATGGACTTTTAAATCCACGGGCTTTTTTATGAATGGATTCTATTGACTCAATCCATGGATAAGTTTATAAACCTTCAAAATGTCCATAGACTTTTCAATCTGGACCACCATTGTTGGTCGTCATAATTTTCACCTAAATCGCCATTGCCGATCTGTTTGAATCTCACCGCCATCCGCCTCTGTCACCAGAGTTTTTCGCCACCGTCATCAAACCCATCGATCCACCACCAACAAAATAACATTGGTTATGCAAGGGAACTAGAGACAATTAATTATATTAATTAATTAAATTAGGGGTAAAATGTATGTTTAGTCCTGTTTAAGAAAAATCAAACACATATATGTTCATACTCTGGAAAGAATGCTATGTTTTAGTCCTACCGTGAATAATTTCCTCTGTATAATATGATAAGAAATAATTAAATAAATAAATGAAACAAATGTAATTCATCTGGAAATGCAATGCCTTACAAGAATAAATGAAGCATATGCATGCAAATTTATTTTTATTAGTAAGAAAACTCAAAATTTCGAGAATGCTCAACAAACTCGTGTTACACAACTCAATGAGTAAGAACACTAATCGTTACACAAGCGTCACACTCATTGCTACACGTGTCACGAGTATAGTTGCAATCAAGATTATCTTCTTAATAATTGTTTTCTTTTCATTTTTAGCTGGTCAAAATTTATTTACTTATTTATGGTTAAATATTTATTAATTTGAAATTATTTTTTTAAATGTTAGCGGTTTAACGATGAACAACAGTAATAGCTAATCTATTTTTCTCGTAGTGGTTAATTAACAACATACTAGAATTGCATTGATATAATACCATCGATTCTTCTAAAAACTTATAGAACCGAGTCGATATTAGATTAACGGTCATACAAATAGTTCCTGATGTTTTTTCAAGAAATCAACCGATCTCACCCTTGCTTTTTTCTCCGTAAGACGGTATATAAAAAATCGTATTTTTAATATATCTTGTGTATAAGTATGAATGTAGAATCTCATTGTTCAATGATAAAGAATCAGATTTAACTTTCGACTCTTGCATACTGAGACCATCGTGCATGGCACCCATCTCCCAACACTTGCTAACACCGGATTAGTTAGCCAAATCTAGTGTTATTATGCAACTAGATCTATGTGTACTTGTGATGAATAGACGACAACAGAAAAGTCCACATATTTTTTTTAAAAGAAGAGACAATGACAAAGAATTAATGTACCAAGAATGAATTAAAAGTGAATGAAAATCAATTTTAGAAGTCAATAAGAATGAATTAAAATTTGAATACGATTGGACTTTTATAGACTTTTAAAACTCCAAAGCTATAAATACACTCTCTAAACCGAATACACGGTTTCTCAAAAGGGGGCGTTTCGGGGCAAAATTGCATCCGGTCGGTACTGTGCCCTGTGGTTTTATTCAGTCAGGGCGTTAGGGCTCCTCCACCCCTCTGTGTCCATCCTCAACCTCCGTTTATTCGTAAGCTATTCTGCTATCCTTCAGATGTCAAATACGATTTCCCGTTACCATTCATGACTTGTTACTCGATTGAGCTGTTTTGCCCCAGGGGATGGAAAACCAACAAGAAATTTCCAGCCAGGAAGGTAGACGCATCATGGAAGAAATTGCAGCTACTGGAAAATGCTGGTAGTTTCCCCCCTGCTACAGTAGTTAAAATATTGGTAGATGACTAGATTCCTCTGCTGCAATAGTTTTTAAAAGTTCATTTTTAACAGTGAAGGAGATTAAAAAATGTTCTAGGGGTTTGGCATTCTATTGATTAATTATGTTATTGATATAGCAATTAGAATAAATCAGTTAGTGATGCCAGCAAGATATTAGTTTAGTTGAAATTCCGGCAAGATATTAGTTTAGTTGAAATTCCGTTAGTTGTTGAATCCGTTTGTTGATCAAATTGTTATAAATAGGATACAAAGAAGCTGTAAAACTCAGAAATGATATTCTTCAGCCTTCTATCATCTTCTTCCTATACTCTACCTCTGAACATCATTTTCGTATCTCTTCTAAGCTAATTTCGACTAGCTCTGCTGTCGCCATAGCTAGACCAAGTTAGCTCACTAGTAGAATCAGTTACTTAAATAATCCATTCTACATCAGTTATCAAAGTAATCTATAGTATGGTGATGGGAAATTGCTTAATTCCGATGCCCTCTGTGGTCAATATGGGTTCAAGTGTTCAACTGTTCAATAAAAATTAATGGTATTTACTTTGAGGTATTAAGAGTCGACTCATGCATGAACTATTATTGCACGTTTTCTTGCCTACATTTGCTGCAATGTAGACATGGATTTTCTGATGCCAAGGGTGCTTGCCCTTTTGACCACAATAAATTATGAAGAGTCTTTTTTGCGTTTTTTTTGGCTTTCTTTGTAACACATTTCTCTTTTAACGTGTCATACCAGGCATGACTGGGATAAGCTGAAGAGGTTTCTTTCCTTCCATCTTAAGCAGGTATGATAGACTGACAGAATATGACAATTGAGTCAAGTTAGTTTTCTACTTTATCCTGTATTTGATGGACTTTCTACTGACGTACTTAGTTTCCTTTTTTTAGTATAGTCCTCACATGTTTTTCATAATTTGATAATGAAGATACTGTCAGACTATCCAGAGTCAAAATTGACACATGAATTGCAGCAAATTTCTTCAATCGGAGAGCCCTTTCCAGATTTGGTGAAAAGGTTGGATCATGGTATTTCCACAGTCATACCTTTTATTCTTATGATTTTTTATTTCAATGAAAGCCTGCTAGACTCCTAGTATACTCATGTCAACTGTTCCTAGGTATCAAACATGTTTCTTTGAGTTAAAACCCAGCTGAGCATCATTGGAAATCCAGTTACAGTCATCTTTATAGACTCTGTAGCTGCGACATTCAGATTGCAATGTTTTATGTGAATCTAGATATTCTAAAATTCTATCCCTTTAGCTAGGCTAGGAAAAGTGCATAGACAGGTTCAAGAAGAAGAAAACCATACAATGGACCATTTGGAATTGGAAAATACAAGACGAAGAATATCGGTAGGTAAGCAGAGGAAAAAATCGAAGGAAAGAAATTTTGCTAGAAAATAAAAGATAAGGTGAACCTAATCAAGTTTATTTTAGATATTTGTTCAAACTCATTTTCTTTATTTATTCTATAATAATAAAGTCTATGGAATCTAAACATTTGAAATGTTAAAACACCTCAGTTGTATTTCATTTTTCTTTGCATTTTCCGACAAAGAGTCTATGGAATCTAAACATTTGAAAATGTATGAAATAAAGTTGTAAACCCTTTTGCAATTGAGTGTCACACCTTTTCTAGTGACATTATTGCTCTATATTTTCTCAGCCCTGAATATGTTTGTCTAATGGCAACATTTATATATGGAGTTCTGGATGGAAAAGATCAAACATTTTTTTCATGCTGTTGGGAAAGGGATTTTTTGTGAGTATTCAGATATAATATTTCTGAGTAGAATTCTTTGAACTACCCTGGAATCGGGATATCAGAGTTCACAATGCCCCATCTAGCTTTAACATCTTCCTTTATTTTCCTTTAGGTCCCTCCTCTTTTACTGCTGTTCAACTAAGTTCAGTTGGGACTTGCTTTTGCAGATCTTAATAGCTTTACTAATGGTCCTCCCTTTACTTTACAAAGACTGTGTGAGGTATGATGAATATAGTCCTTCTGCATATCTTTCGACCTGGTTTAAGTTTTGCATGTATTCCATTGCTTATGCTATTGAACAGATCATGTTGGATCCAAGAAGCATTTACCCAAAGCTCTCAAAGCTTGCATTGGCGTTAGAAAAGGTCTGAACTTAACTGCTTGCACTTTTATTCAACACTTTCCCGCTTTAACAGTTTTAAGAAGTTGAACTTTGTTTCGTGAAGTGTCAACCGGAGTAAATTTTTCAAAGTTGGGAATTGTCTGAAAATATCTGGTCTTTATCGGCACTCTATTAGTATAAATATAAAATTATAAATAAATCATTAAATAAGTCTATAATGAATTATTATATTTAAATTAGATTATTAGAACAAATACAAAGAACGTCTATAAATTGAAAGAAAAATTGGTTCATTTATTGGATATAACAGTGTAACTTTAATGAATCTCAAGTTCTCATTATGTTTTCTGATGGATCCAAGTGTTTATGGAATACCCCCCCCCCCCCCCCCCCCCCCGGCCTAAAAATGAGTCATATTTCAAACATTAATTTGTCCCAAAATAATCTTATTTGATAAATTAAAGCTAATTTCATGTCCCATTTTGGCAAAAAACATTCACACACAAGGTATGTATGATGCATTTAGATAAACTAAATGCCATGCAAGCAGGACTAATGATTTATAACGTGTACCTAAACAAAATCAAAAGTATTACTTTGGTCAAACTTGATTCTTTTTATTGGGAGAGGAGTAGATATGTAATAAAAGTTCAAAGAACAAAAATCTTCTGAATCGTTTTAGGAATACTTTTAGTAGATACTGCGGATCAAATCTTGCTCGCAAATAATTTGTATTTCTTCAAATCCCAACATATGTCCAATTTTATTTAGGAGATATACTACACATATGACTCAAGTTACTTTTAGGGTTTTTAGTTTTATTTGATCAGAGACCTTATTCTTCTGCTGTTGTTAAAATGTTGCACATCTTCACATCTGATTGCAGAACTTGTTGGTTGCATCTACATTGACCATCTCCGATGACCCATCAACTGCTACCATGCAAAAAGCAGGAGAAGCAGAAACAGAATCACCCCCCCTAGTATCCCAACATCAATCATCAAATTTGGTGGTACCAAATGGGGTTGAAACCAGACGAGCTGAAGATACGGATGAAGTGATGGGGGAGGCCGAGGGGAATGAAGTTGTTGATGATGGGATTACAACCGACATGGAAACATCAGAACTAGTCAGATCTGAAACCAATCCCACCGTGGTTGCGGAACCAGCTAGGTGTGATGATCCATAGTTTGAACTTTGAAGCAACAGGGTGGGTTATCTGTCTGTATTTAGTATATTTTTTCACGTTAAAGTGCAACAAATTCAGGCTAACTATTTTACAGATGTTGTAATGGTAATATTGAAGTTGGATGGGCTCCTTGGAGACTCACTTTTCCCTTGCAAGAACCACTATTTTTTTCTGATTTGTTCTCATATTTTCGGTAACTAGAATAGCACATTCTCTTGTAGGTGTATTTTTATACTCCGTATAATCTTTTCTTGTTCTTATTTTTTGCTTATTTGTTGATTTGTTCTGTCTGATCTGTTTTCATCTTTCCAGAAACTAAAATGGCACTTTTCGCAAGTGTTAGATGATCTATCAATGCTCGCCAAGTTTGATTTAGGGAGTAAAAAATTAAAAAACAAATGTTTTTCAACTTTTTGCTTAAAATGACAACTTCTTCTTAATTTAAGTATTTAAATGTTTTTCAACTTCGTTTATTAAAACCACTAGTTCCAATGTTCCATTGGTGGATCATGTTTGGATTATGAATAATAAATTGTGAAAAAATACATATAGGCTTTGATTCAAGGGTTTTGCATTAGGATTTTGCATCATGTTTGGTTCAACCAGCATTATAGATTTACAGTTCATACATATTGTATAAGGCTTGCGATTCTAGGGTTCTCTAGTTTGTTTTGCAATGGCAAAAATGACGATGATATATTGCTGTATCATTATTATGAACCATTCGTACACTTTTTGTGTATACCCATAAATCTCATAATTGCATGTGTACATAACAAATGTTGATTTTTTTAAATGAATTGTTTGTGTACACTTAAGATTGAATTTTTGTATATTTATATTGGCCTAACAATGTCTTGGTTTTCTAATGGCGAATGGAAATCTGAAACAATGACAGGAAACGAAGTATATATTCATAATCTGAAACAATGACAGGAAACGAAGTATATATTCATAAGGAATAAGTTTTTCCGAAAAAAAAAAGAAAATTCCTGAAATAGAAGTAAAAATGTTTTGAGAATTCTAAATACGACTGTCATATTTTTGTTTCTGTAAATAAGAGTAAGTATTGTCAAGTTTGGATAATATTGTCATATTTAATGTTGGATACTACCAAAATATTACTACTATTTAGATAATAAAATATGGCAATCCTATTTTGTAATACGCAAACATGTTTACTTTTATTTAGGGCAATTTCCCAAAAATAAACAAACAATACAGGAAGAAGTCGTAGAATCCAAAAGTGGGCTGCGTATGACTGACAGTTGTTGGTTGTCTTAGCAGCATAATCCCAGGATCAGAAAAACCAAACTGCTAATAGACATCACCGCATACACAACATTCACATTTTATAACTCTGAACATTATAAAGATTCCATTCATGTCCAGACTGAGTCATATGGGAACTGAAATACCCATAACTACAAGACCCTCTTAGTCTACATCATTTGAGACATGTTTTCAGATACAAAAATCAGCATGCATGATAAGCACCACCGATCACTTCCCATGCTCCCAGAGTTGCAATATACTTATGATAACCCTAAAGTATCTGCGATTTTGAAGGGTAACGATTGAAAAAAAGGCAAAACTTGAGAATATATACATGTCAATAGAAAAGATCAATGCTACTCAGAGAATGCACATTTTAGAGGGAATAGTCTGCGTACCATTGCTGATTCTTTCTGAACTCTGTAAGGACAGGATATATGTTCTCAAAAGCAGTGTATGTCTCTTCCCGCACCTGACAAAGTAGAATAACGGTGGGCCATGTTCTCATCTCACAGTAGACTAACTAGAAACATCCTAGTAGGGGGATGCCTCACCTTTGCTCCTGTCAGGACAATTTTTCCAGACACAAAAATGAGAAGCACAATCTTCGGTTGCTTCATCCGGTAAATTAAACCTGGAAAAAGTTCCGGTTCATACTGCATGCACACAAAACACATTTGATCACATAACTGCAACAAATAAACACCCATTTGGTTGAACTACAATATTCTGATACTTACACTTGAAAAGGCACCATGGGAATATGCTAATCCCTCAAGTCTTATGGGAAATTTCACATCACATGAGCCAACAATATTCTGAATCTTAAAATCCTGTCAAATAGCAACATGCAATAATATTAATGTCATAAAGACAAGTAGCCACATACATTGAAAGACTCCTCTGACTTCACATTACTACTAAATTTCATCATTGCCTTTAATTAGACTCGATATGGTCCTCAACCATGCAATTTTGACCCAATTTCACCCTCAAACATATTAGGCTCCTGGAAGGATATATACCTCCAATGAGGACACAATTGAGTCCAGAATTATTACTTGAGATATTTGGGCACAAAGTTGGGCATAAATTTTGTGACCGGGAGATAATAGCATTCTAACTTCGAGCCAAATGTGTATGACGGCTGAATAGCATTCAAATTGCTGTCCCAAACAACCGAATTGGGTAATAGCATACAACTGAGGGGGCTAAAGGAGATATTAGTTCTAAAGTGAAATGTGTGGAGGAGAATCTAAATTCACCGATCTGAGCAGAAGGGAGATGTACCTTAAATTTAGCGGGAAATCCAAGCTTCTGGATGATGCGAGCATACTGAAAGACATAAAGAGATGAGATTGGGGTCAGTGAAGTTGATTACATTAGGGTTGGGGGTTTCTTAACAGAGTATCCTAATTACTGTCTGAGATGCTTTCTCGAATCGTTCATACAATCATATGGTAGCTAACAAACTTTCAGAGTAGAACCCAGAATCACCAGAAATGAATAAGAGCGTTGCTAAAATAAGAAGCAACCTGACAGTATGCTTCATTATATATATATATATATATATATATATATATATATATATATATAATTCGACTTATAGAAAAATACCTTCCTAGCTGCAAGCCTTGATTGTTCCTCGCTCTTTGCTCCAGTGCAAACCTAATTCAGGAGCAGACAAAAAGAGATTAGGATAACTAAACGGGAAGTTTGGTAAAAATCTAACAAGAGGAGGTGAAAATGAGGACTATTTTACCATCTTTCCAGAAGCAAATATTAAAGCTGTAGTTTTTGGATCCCTTATCCTCATAATAACTGCAGCAAAACGCTGGTTAATGGAAAAGGGTCAGTGAAAAGAAATAGAACTTGAATGGCGTCGTCCCACAGAAATCTTGTAAACATGTGAAGTTCAGATTCGGGGTACTTCATGTGGTTATAAAATAGCAGTAGCACTTGTAAATTAAATTGTATTTGATGAGTACCTTGGGGTTATATTCAGCATTGCGAGCTTGCAGTGCAATGGCTTTAAGATCCAATTTACAGTCCAAGTTGACAGTTGACACAATATTCCTGGAATAGGAAGTAGCTCAAAAATAGTTGTTAGATTACAGTCCAAGCAGATCAGACGTCATTTAACTTGTGCTCAATGTCGTGAGTTATGACCCTGAATAGCCCGTTTCTAGTCCATTTATTATGAACTTCTTTCACTTTTTATAAAACTATATAACAGTGTTGTCAAATCATCCTGCAACTTATATGCATCCTTAATCTTCATTGTATTTTCTCCTAAATCCCTTCACCCGGTCTACTAATCTATTGTTACAAAGAAACTGCTGTATTGATCAATATAGAACAAATCATAAATACGAGAAAATGGCACATTGACTAATCACTCTCAACTTAGCTTAAAACGAAGACAATGAAACGTAGCTAACAAGACTATACACATATCTAGTCTGCAATGTGGCAACAGACAGTTGACCTCTGAGGTACATGAGAGGGTATACACTTAAAGAACCAATGCACCCTGGACATTGGTAGTACATTGGAAATCAAAAACTCAACTTTTGGCCTGGCTTTCAAGAATATCTCAAAAGCAAACTCCTTTATTATCCCGCGCACACTCCAGATGTGAAAAAAATCCAAGACTTACTGGAGGGTTGGCACAATTCCAGACGGGTGCTTGGAAAGATCCACTGGTGTGCTCCCTTCCATGACGTCCTGATTAGCCGCCATTGAACGGGGGAAGGTCTTGTCTTATTGAGGGGGTTTTAATTGAAAGAAACAAATTTCAATAGATTAGACGAAATCTGAAACCCAATGATTGAGCTAGGGTTCCGGCACCAATTTGAGAAGGCAGGATTCAACTACAGAGAAATCCAACCCTGCTTGATAATATTAACTGCGGGTAGTCAGATCGCAGGAAACATGTATCCGATTTAAAGAAACAGGCATAAAATACATATTGATGAATCAGATTGAATCCCCTTGAATTTATAGGAAAAAACGGTGAAAATCAACGATTGGGCGCCAAAGATTTGAAAAGCAACAGTTTTATAGATGATTTATGCATATATATGTACCGACATGTAAGTATTGGTAGATTTATATACGTGCATAGATATATATATACCCTTGTAGATGAAGAGATCTGAAGAGAGAAGAGGAGGAGGAGCTAATGAAAGGCGAGAGGCGGAATATATGTATGCGATGGTTGAGCTCTTTGTACCAAGGTGTCGGGGGAGGGGGTATTTATAGACAGACTGGCTAGGCCCAGCAACAGCCGGTATACAAACTCTTGTGACCGGCTATTGGCAGGAGACCAGGTAATTATTCAATTAAGCTCACTTTTAAAATTGATATGGTATTAGGAAACTGCCCTAATTAGAGATAAAAGGGATATGAAATTCATATAAATATTGTATAATTTTATAAATATATTGTATATTTATATTGTTAACTTATACGAATATATTGTATATTTATATTGTATATAGATACGGAGTATATTGTATTTTTGTTACTAAACATATGAGTAACTAATACGTAGTATTATGTTATTATTATAATGTTAGTGTATGATAATATAAAAAATATCAAAATATAACAAACCCATCTCGTGATGATACTATTTTGGAATTTCATGGTAAATGCAACTTCTATGTAAATACGTAGTATTACGGAGTATTTCATTTGTCCTGTAAAAATGTTCTGATGTTGTCTTGTACTTCGATTAATAAAAGTAAAAGCTGGTGATTGAGATTCATGCGGGAAAAATAATTGTGTCAACATATTTACTATAGGAAGAGTATGTGTGACTGCCCCCACGACCACATACTTATGAACATATACAAGTGGCACAAAAAAACGTTTGGGAGTCGTCATCGGCCGAGTTCGTGGCTTCACAAGACATCCCAAAGAGGTAATAAAGGAATACAAGAATGGATTGGGTAGACACACTAACTCGTCCTGATCCCCGACCGTAGCCCGTCGTCCCTGACTAAGGACTACACGAAAGGCAAATTAGTACCCTTGTCGCTACTAGACAAGACTAACACCTCAAGAAACGAGAAATACCAGAGGTCCAAGTCAAATATTGGCACTCACACTCTCGGTGACCCTAGTGCGTGAACTAGGACATCGACCTCCACGCATCAAGTTCTTTCACATCGCATGGTTTTCAACTATCGACTAGCTTACACTTGTGCGCACATTTAATGTAATCAATGTTTATCACTATACCTAGATTGCGTGAATTGTGTGGTGCTTCTACATTGATGGGTAGGTTTTTCATCAACGTTGTGCATGTCATATTCTAAATTTGTGTGTACAAGATGATTTAGCGGCATTAGGAAATACTTTGGAGGTAGTGAAGGGGGGAATTAAATTGATTTGGACTAGCACTCCACTAAAAATGCAATGGCGGCAATATTTGAAGGATAGACGTGTCAATTATTGTGCTTTTCCTAAAGATTTTTCTATTCGTTGGAATAGTACTTATAATTTAATTCAAGTACTTATTAGATATAAAGATCATTTTCCTGCTTTTTTAAGACAAACTTGTAACTATATTATAAACCCGGCTGACATCGACACTTGTGAAAAAATTGTTAATATTTTGGCATATTTTAATAACGCAACTCAAACTTTTAGTCATGTTTATAAACCTACCGTAAACGAATTTTTTGTTGAAGCTGTTAATCTCGTCGGCGCTTTTTGTGAATTTTCCGATGCCGCTTACGTTAGTTATTTTTGTGATTTCATGAAACAAAAGTTTTTAAAATATTATTCACATATTCCGCATATATATGGTATTGCATTTGTTCTTGATCCTCGTTATAAACTTGCTTACTTGGCAAATTGTATAGATTACTATTATGCTTCTTTTGTTCCAGCTCAAGAGTTCGATGATAATCCCATCGACCCTAAACAAGAATTCAACGAGGTTAGTAATTTATTTCATCAATTGTATAATGAATTTCATGCACAATATGGTAATGCACCCCCTCCCATGCCACGAACATCTTCTTCATCTAAAGGAAAATCACTTTTAAAATCCGCTTTTGGTTCTCTTTTGAAAAAAAGTAGAGCAACTCCCGCTACTGAACAAAGCTCAGGTAACGAGCTTTCTTTGTATCTAACATTGAATGTTGATTATGAAGTGGGGGATGACTTTGACGTTCTTAAGTGGTGGAAGGAAAATGAAAGAACGTTCCCGATTTTACCAAAGATGGCTAAGCAAGTGCTAGCAATGTCGATATCAACGGTTGCCGTGGAACAAGAATTTAGTGCGGCCGGCAACGTCCTAACCGATTATAGAACGAGGTTGAGCCCGAGCTCTCTTGAGACGCTAGTTTGCTTCCACGATTGGTTGAAGGCCCAACGAAGAACTCAAGAAATGACCATCGCTCCCACCCGCCACTTTATGGAGGAAACAATCGAAGGCGGAGATTCCGATTGATTTTTTATTACAAAATGTATTACATTTTTTAAATTCATTCTAATTCCCAATTGTACTTCTTATTTGAAATAAATATACTTGAATTATTTTATATTATTCTAATAATAATATAATATGATTTATTTTATTTTTTAAAAAATAAAAGGCCCGACCCGGCGGGGGGCCCGGCCCATGAACCAGGTGGGTGACCCGAACCGAACCGGACCCCGGGTTATCCGGGCCGGTTCCGGGCCTCCCATACCGTGAACCGAGGCCCGGCTGGTTCAAGGCCCAAAACGAGCCCGGCCCGAACCGAGTCCACCACTACATACAAGGGTTAATAATTAATTGTTTGACCACATTGATGAATTGGACTTTGCTTATATATGTATTTGGCAGGACACATAAAAATGTCTTCTGAACTTTTGACAATTGATGTAAATGAACTTTATACTGAAGTAGAAGATGAAGAGGAGAATTCTTCAAGTGATGATTCAGACTCAGGGGTCTCTTCTTGCCCCTCCTGGGCATTGGAAGATATGGAAGGGCCCGATGACGATGACATCTTCTTATAAGGCCACCAGACCATTCACGAAAAGTATGGGAGTGTGTGAGAAAATGCGTGAAGGATAGGTGATGGAGTAATGGGACTAGGCCCAGAGCCTAATCAACCCAAGCCCCGAACTTGGACCCGTGTATCCAAGTCCACAACCTGAGGCCTGCCTGCCACCCTAGTGGGGAGCCTGCCAGCCCGGCCGACCTCCCAACCCGGAAGAGTAACTGTCAAGCAATTAATGCGCTATTAATTATGTATTTAATTCTGTATTAATGTTGTAATTAATTAGTCATTATTATCGGTAACGGTTACGATTTGTATACGCCTATAAAAGGCGGGTTGTAATTCAGATCAGGGGAGACAACTTCTATACGCTATTTCTGGCTACCAAATTTCCTTTGCAACTTACCATATTCTTACTTTCCTAATTCCTGTTTGAGTGTCCTACGTAACTTTCCTAAAAGCCTACGAGCGTCCTATTTTGGACCAACATTGGTGCTTTCATTGAGAGCCTCTATTACCTCTCATATCGCTCGAGTAGGAATCACAAGAAAATCCAGGGAAAAGATGAACTGGAAAAGAAAGAAAAGAGTTTTGGAAATCGGTTTTGGAGGATCTGGATGAACGGAAGAATTTGGTTAGATTGGCAGTCCCGACGCGGACCAATCCAACGGCCACCGTAGGACAGTCCTGAGCTCAAATGGCTCTTACTAGCAGTTCGACGGTCTCCGATTTCCATTAATGGCGAATTCAGCTCCAACAGTATAGTTGGAGTTTGCGGACCATGGCCTCTCTTCATTCCCGGCAACCTGGTACGAGCTCCGACACATCTGTAAAATTCCGCTCGCCTCGCTTCTTGGTCGCTCCGCCACCACATTTCTCACCATCCGTCAATAATGGCTGCTCAGAGCTCTGGGTGGGAAGGACATACTATCCTCGTCGGCCAGCTGTCCTCGCAGAACCACCGTGCCATGCTACGACTGTCCCAACCGCCACCATCCTCATAGTGTTGAGGTGCGCCGAGGTGGATCTTGTTTGCTCTTGCTACAATAGCGGTGTGGCTGCTCCCTTGGTCGTTAGATACTCTGTTAACCTACGGATGTGTGGGCATAAGGTTACATTGACCTGATCCGAAGTATGGGTCAAATCCAGCAAGGTGGATGGAATAGTGGGCCGAATCACATTTTTGTTGCACATCTGAGTCTACTGAAGCTAAGTGCATTAAAACACCTTCTATAAAATTAATATATGGGGAAATATATGATTAATAATAATAAATTGAAACATTTGAAAAGATATTTTAAGTGGTATGATTGCTTTTACTCTTGTTAAGTGTGTGTAATTTTAACATTGAACAACGGACTTATGAAATCTAATCACTCAAGTACGCCGGACGAGCACACACACTCGTACATTGGCCGAGCACACACACTCGTGCCACCGGGTCACGTCATATGGGTATGACGATTAATAAGCTCCAATCTAAATGTTAATACCTCACACTCTTGACTTCTTACGGGTTCTTGCGTGCTCTTACCTCTTCCTAGTGTATCACCTTCCGACCTCAGAGGATGAGTCACCCGTTCAAAAGTCTTTACTTGCGGGTTCGAACTACTAACCTCAGGCGGCGAGTTAAACTCTTGTTAGGGGTCTAGAGCCACGCTTTTCCGAGCAATTTTATCACTTAATTGACATTCACATTTCTCGAAAAGGTTGATATACTTTAGTTCTTTGGGGTTGGATTATCCGTTTGAGTGAGGAGTCCACCTCACTTACTCATGGATTCAATCTTTCTTTCAGAGACAGGGTTGAGGCCTAACTTGGGAACTTGATGTCACTCTTTTGAAGTAGTGAGTCCGACTCACTTACATACTGATCCGTGGTTCGACACCAGGCCAGATGCTTTATTCTACACTAGTTTCTTTTATGTATAGGTACAACTGAATGAAGTGGGGGACTGAGGGTCTTACCGTCTTCAAGGAAGCAAATGATGAACCTGACGAATCTGAGCCCGACAAGAAGAACAGTTCTAACCATCATATTCGCAGATGGCGACAATTGCAATAAAGGCTGATGATCTCACCTCTTGCTTCATCTTGGGGGCGTCAGATGTACTCTTTTTCCCTTCATTAAGATTTTTTCCCATTAGGTTTTTTTCTAATGAAGGTTTTTAATGAGGCATCTCCCCAACACGGACAAGGGCGGGGATCTTCTAGTCTCGGAGAAGAGCAACT